GCGAATGGAATATTGCGATATCTTCAGCTCAGGAGCGGCCACTGCGACGCCGGTTTCTATCGAGTCGCTTCTTTACTTTTCGAACCATTTCTGCTGATGTTGCTGTTTTCTTCCGCCCACTTTCTTGACGTCGGGCTAAGCTACCTACGCTAGTATCACGGTAACGAGCGATGGTACGAGACACAAAAGATTTAGTCACATTTAAATGCTGGCGTGCTCTAACGATAGCCACTTGTGGTTTTCCAGCCAAATATAAAGAAATCGCACTATCACGCTTGAATTCCATCACGAAAAACTTTTTTTTTTTTGGAAAATGCTTTTGTACGCTTGTAAACAATATAATGAGCTGTCACTGGAATAATTTTAACAACTGTCGGACGAGTGGTTTAGAAATGACAGCAGTCTGAAGTTGGTTGCAGTTTTATCACTCACTCTGTAAAGCCGACCGAAGTATTCCATTTTCATACTTCATCTAATACAGATAAAATTATTGATGTGGGCTAAATTAAAAGAAAATCGAACATTTATATCCAATTCCAGATTTACCTCAGGTTTCTGTTTGAGAGAAAAATGTAGATATATCAAGTTATAGAATCGCTGACTTATTTTGCAAGTTCTGACAGATAAAAATAATGAAAATTGTGACACTTTGTGAGTGAGGTACCAGAAATGGCTCGCAGATATATATATATATATATATATATATATATATATATATATATATATATATATATATATATATATATATATATATATATATATATATATATATATATATATATATATATATATATATATATATATATATAAAATCTTGATCCTATGTGGGGGAGGTTCCACAAGGAATTGTCCGATCTCTGCCATGTTATAAAAGATCTTGTGTTGATAGAATTATTGCGATATGGCAAGTCTGAGTGGAATCGAATGATAATTTCGCGTTTTATGAGCTTCATGGATATTCAAAATTTTGACCCTTTGTGGGGGAGGTACCAGAAGGAGTGAACCGATATATGCCATCTTCACATCAGACCATGGGTTAATAAGAATATTGATGTGTGTAATTCAGGGATGGAAAATTCAGTACAATGGTACTTTTTCAGTACAATGGTACAAAAAGTACCTAAGTACTCCCGCGGAAAATTCAGTACTATTTCACTTAAGATGTCTCCATTATAATGCAATTAGTGTAAATTGGCGTTTAAATAAGTAAGCACACCAAAACTGGATGCACTTGTGGAGAATGCCACAAAACATTGCCCTTCAACAGAAGCAGCAAAAAAATTGGAGATCATGATATGTTTATTTGTGGCCGAACATAACTTGCCATTCACCATCTTAAGGCTGATAATTGCTCAGTGATGATGGGGAAATACAAAGGTGTGCAAGTAATATTAAAATTATCAGTTCCAAATCTTTTTGTAACTGGATGCGTTTGACATATATTGAATTTGGGGTCATTCTTTGATACGCTGCAACACGATGGCTTCGAGGAAAGAGGTAGTAAACCGCATTTTAGAACAATGGGAACCTCTCACATACTATTTTAACCTCAAAAACTTTGAAAATGAATATCAAACAGAAAAGTTGGAATTCATTAGCGATGAACTAACTAATCCCATAATGAAAATGTTCTACTTAATTTTGTCTTATGTTTTAAAATTAATTAATAATATTAATCTTGAAATGCAATCAGAAGAAGCGAGAATTCATATTTTACTTCCAAGAATTAAGTTTTTATATATGCAAATTGCAAGAAATTTTATTCTGAAAGATGGACTTAGTGACGATATTTTAGAAATCGACATTAACGAAAATCATATTCCTTTACATAATATTTTTGTGGAACTAATGTTGAAATATTTATACAAAGTAAACATGTTGAAAACACAACAATAATGGAATTCAAGAAATATGTAAATCAGTTTTATATAAAATTTTGCAACACTTTGAAAAAGAAAATATATTTTAATAACGATAGTTTGTATATGATGTTTAATAATTTTTCACCTGAAAATATTATAGATGGAAAGATAAACAGTATAGTTCCACTTTTAATGAAATGGTTTCCCAAGAAAGAACAAAATTTTGAAAATATTAACTCCCAATTTAGAGCTTTATCTGATTATCCTGAACTTAAAAAATGTAAAGATGGTAATATTAGTGATTTTTGGCTTAATGTTAGTGTTATTAAAAACGAATTGGGGGAATTAATGTTCCCAGATATATCAAGAATTGCCTTTGGTATATTGTCAATTCCCCATTCTTCAGAGAATGTTGAACGAATATTTTCAATTCAAAATGCCACTAAGACTAAAGAAAGAAATCGTCTACAGCTAGAAAGTCTTTCTAATCTCATAAGATCGAAAGTCTTCTTAGATCGAATAATTCCTGCTGTTTTGATTACAAAATTCCAGACAATTTCCTTAAGAAATAAGAAATCAATCATAAAAATAACTTTACAAACTTCAGAATATTATATAAGAAAAAATGATCTCAGATTTTATGTTCCTGGAAGCTATATACATACATATGTACCTAAATACATAGGTGAATGAATTTGTTATGTTTGTTTTGTTTACCGAATAAAACGTTTTTTTGTAACTCTAAAAAAAAAATTATAAAAAAGTACCATTTTATTTAAAAAAAGTACCATTTTAGTACCTTTTGAATTTTTTGATTTTCCATCCCTGGTGTAATTTAAAAACAATCGGACTCTTACATCACATTTTATGAGAGTTATAAAATTTTTGAATCTTTGCGGGGGAGGTACTTGATGCAGTGGACTGATATTTTACATTTTCGCACGTGACCTAGCTCTTGAGCGAATATTAGAATTTGCAAAGTTCGAGAAAAATTGGATTATCCATTCTCTTACTGTGCAGTAAAACCTTTTTTTAAATTTCGACCTTTTACCAGAAGGTACCAGAAGGATTGGACCGAATTCGATCTAAGTTTGATAATAATATTACGATGCACCGAATTTGGACCAAATCGGATACTCTCTTCGAGAGTTGTCGTGCGCACCAGACGAGCGGACGGTTGAACGGACATCGCTAGATCGACTCCAAATGTCCTGAAACGGATTTGGTCCAAAATGTACGTTAAAATTTTACTCTATTCGCGAATCCGTTAAGATATTGTTGGGTTAAATAATTGGATTACTTAAAAACCCCTCAAATATCACGGTTCTTTCATTATTTTTCAATGATAAGGAATTACAAACAATATATTGAGATTGACCTATATTTACGCCCTCTGTCGTGCTAATAGGAGTTCAAAACAATATTTGACTATTTAGATTCGTGTATATATTTTCATATATCACCGATATTTCACTATACACGTCAATGATATCTGTGTCAAACGGGAATTTGCCTGGAAGTAATTTTCTGTATTAAAAATATTCGCGGTTGAATTTTTACAAAATAGTAGGCTTCTGCCATGTCCCAAACTCTAACCGACTAAACTATAATTTCTTGTGTGCAACCCGTACCGATACACTCACAGCTAGGTCAATTCACCTCGGCGAAATAGGAAAATCGATACACTACACGGTGGGTCTACTGCCAATATTTCGAGGTGTTACAAACTTTTTGGCCCAATCGAACTTATAAATCCCTCAACACATACTGTTGTAGTGTGTATTAATCGAAAAAGAAGTCCTGTAGGGAACGATTAGAGCTTTAAAACAAGTAGAAAAGCAGCTAAGTTCGTCTGGGCCTAACATTTAATAGCCTTACCATTTCAAAGGAAATTGAAAAATTTCAAAAAAAAAATGAAAACCGTTATATGGGGATTATACGAAGACGTGGACCTGCATACGAAATTTTTTGTGCCCATTACGAACTTCAAATACGAAATTTGTTACAATTACGGTGAATAATGTCGTTAAAACCATGAAAATACCGAATATCGGGAGGTACCGTTATGTGGGAGCTAACCGAAGATCTAAACCTGCATACAAAAATTTTTGCCATAGGCTGTAGTACCCATTGGTATCTTCCAATACAAAATTTGAAACGATGCCGGTGAATAATGTTGCTGAAATCATCAAAATACCGAATATCGGGAGGTATCGTTATATGGGAGCTATACGAAGACTTGGACCGAAATGGCCCATTTACGAACTTAACCTGCCTACTGGTAACCTATGCATGTATGCAGAATTTTAGCCTTCTGTCTTAATTATATCGTTATGAAAACCAACAGACATACGGATAGACGGACATCGCTAGATCGTCTTAGAACTTTACTTTGTAGGGTCTGTTATGAATATTTCGAAGGGCTACAAACGGAATGATAAAGTTAATATACCCTCCATAGAATGGTGGAGGGTATAATACTATGCAAAATACTCTCAGTTAAAACTTAAAATTCCTTCAAAATTTCAATATTAAAAGTAAAAATATACTTTTTGAAAATTACCTTTAAACATCCAAGATTGGCCCTTTAAAAGTATTCAAAATTTTTTCTCTAAATATTCACTAAAAAACTTCTTGAAAATCCGCCATCAAAGCTCTTCAAATGCTCTTAAAATAAAATAAGTGATTAATGCCGTGATTTCCCATTTTCACAGGACCTCAATTTTCTAATAATTTTGGTCATCTTTTCAATTTATGATTTATGATCCTAGAAACATTGAATTATTAAAAATTCTTAAATAACGAACTTTTTCACCTAGAGCCCTTTAAACAGATTCCTTAAACTTTTTGATGTTCCTATTCGCGTAATATCAGGCTATTTTAAAAAGTTAAGGAATTTATTAAAACTTTCACTTTTAAATACATATTTTTATAAATGATATCATGATTAAACGCAAAAATATGCCTTGTTGTTGTTATCTTGAAATATGCTTATCATTTTTGCTATGTTTTCTTTTACCTATACCTCGCTCCCACATTACCACCTTAGAGTTTTGAAAGATAAAAAATTAAGTTAAATTTTCATGACAAGTTTGTGGAGCGACATAATCACTCGTAATTTTGTTTGTTTTCTTGCAGATTGCTCCAATCAACAAGCAGTAGCAATACAAATGTTAAATCTTCAATAGCATCTACTGGAATTGGAACTAGTGCCCGCGTTCAGCAGCAGCATTCACCCACAAAATATAAGAAAGATAAAACGACTAGTCCAGCCCATTTTGCACCCAAAGTACCTTTGGTATCGCCCATTACCAACAGATCTGCCGCGAAGTCCCTAAAATCACCAGCAGCAGCAGCTGCAACTGTGGCAACCATAAAACCCTCACCAAATAAAACAAATCTACCCCAGACAACACCATCCATACTGAAGGCCACATATGAATTGGAATCCTCTGCGGCCTTGGAAGAACTCTTAAAGAAACGCGAAGAAGATTTACGCAAACGTCGTCAACATGTGGAACATTTAATGAAATGGCATCAACGGCTCGACGAGGAAGAAGCTGAAGTTCTACAATTGGAACGTCAACTGTTAAGCTATAATAATGTGCAACAGCATTTCGAAAAGACACCTCAAAGCGACGGCCACAGAAACCAAAAGAAATCCCTGCAACAAATGCCACCATTGGAAGCTTCTTCAGTTGTTGATGAAGAAGAAGAGTTGACCCGAGAGGTTAATTTGGATGATACAAGTCATCATCATATTTATCAGAATCTAGCCAAGGAAACGGAAAAGAAACGCGCCTCTAGAGCGCGTAAAATGGAAAAACGTCTCAAGGACATTGATAAAAGTCTAAAAGAATTATCTCATATATCGGCCACAAACACAACCAACACCACCACAACGACGGCAAGCAATTCCTCGGCCTTTGTAATGGGACATAACAATGACGACATTGAAGTGTCATCAGCCACCCAACAAGAATTGGATTTTGTGCGCACCACTGGCTCCAAGTTGAATAAGTTATGGCGTCGCCTTACCTCCCAAACGGTGGAGAAATTCGAACCTACGCGACGTTATAAGCTGTGTAAGGCCGATCTTGAACGGCTTTATGAAGAAGCCAAAATGGCTGTGCTCAGAGATTTTGCTGCTGATGAGGAGCGGATAGCCCAAGAGTTGTTGGAGAAAAGTTCGGTAACAACAACAGCAAACACCACAGCCATTGAAAGTCCAACAGCACAATCACCGCAGGGACATGTCCTAAATAAAAGCAATTTTGTGGAAGTTCCGGTGTTGAATTTAAATTTCAGTTCTGGTCACTCAGAAGCTGATGAAGATTCTGCTACAAAATTGGCAAAGGTGGCTGCCGTACCGGCGGCGGCAAATCAAGGCATTTACAGTCCCAGTGTTGCGGAGGAGAATTTCAAGGCTCAATTGTTAAATTCTAGTGCCTCATCGTCATCAGCTGGGGAGCAACCGGAAGACATCCTACAAAAGGAACAGGCTGAACAGGCGTTGGAATTGGAAAGGCAACAACAGCAGGAGAAACAAAAACGTATTGAGAATAATGTACAAATATTCTTAGTCCTGACCCAACGTCTGCATTTGGGATCCTCTGTAAATCGCCATCAACCAGCAACAACAGTTCATCAGCAACCACCGGGACTGCAGCGTAGTCTCAGTGATACGGAAATTGCCGATATACCAAAGTTTTCTGCAGCTACAACAACTAGTCATAGAAATGTATCAGCGAACACTAGTCAAAATAAAGCAAACACAGCAACAACAACAACGGCGACAATTCAAAATGTGCATCAAAAGTCCAAATCATGCATTGCAGAAGTTACAAATTACATTCCTTATGAAACAAACAGACATTGTGACAAGTCAGCAACGGCGACAACAGCTTCTTCCACAATTAAAGAACCAACAAGCCGGCCCACAGTTATTACCACAGTTGGGAGAGTTCCACCCATAAACCCGTCTCAGACATCACAGACACCGCAAAAGCTCTCCTTCTCGGGGCAATTTGAATATGATTCGGAAGCTAAAGCCAAAGAAATCTCCTCAAAATTAGATGAAATATCAGCTGCCGTTAATCTACTATCTCAAGCTAATGCCCTGCCCTCATATCCTGCAGCGTTACAATCGAAGAATTCCTCTGCGGCTCAAGAGGGCGAACAAACAAGCATTACGGAAGTAGCGAATCTAAGTACGAACGAAAATTCTTCGTATTCTTTGAATTTTGCCAACATTTCCATAGATAGGCATTCCTCACCTGGTTCACAACAACTGCAATCTCATAACACAACCCAAAACCAACGTAGCAAAACACCCATCTCACCAACCAATAATAGCTCTGAATCATCATCATCTCAAGTAAATACTTTTGTCGTTTCGCCCAATGGCGGCTCATCTTCGAAAACCTTTACCAAAGACAACAGCACAACTTCAAACTGTAGAACTTTTACAAAAGAACAAACCCCAACAACCACCCCGCCAGGTTTATCGAAAACCGTAACTGTGGTAAGTCCAGCGAATTTGGATAAAACCATTAGTGAAGATTACGAACCTGATTTCGAACCAGATACAACGGATGAAACTCATATTGATGATATATCATTGCCGTTGTATGAAACGACGGTGAGCGAAGATGCCACCACAACGATAGAAGAGGGTGATAGTGAAGTGGCTGAAACCTCCCGAGGTAATGGGAGTTTATCGAATAAAACTTATTGTGCTGAAACAAAACAAGATCAGTTGCCGGTTAAAACGCCCACCATAACCATAACTAGTACTAGTCCCGAAAAGGAGCTATTACCACCACCACCTCCATTACCGCCACCACCACCAGCCCTCACAGCAACTGCTAGTTCGTCTTCTGTCATTAGTTTAGCAACAACTACAAGTGGTGCCTCTGGCGCCCAAATCATTGCAACATCGAATGGCAATGCTTTAATGCCGGATATTATAAATGAATTGGAATTGAGACGACATCCATTGATAATAGATAATGAGGTAAGAGATCCAAAAATGTTGTAAAACTAATGCTCTATTCTCGAACCTGCACGAATCTATTATTTCGATATCAGTTATCGCAGGAACCATTTTTATATTATTGCAGTTCTGGAACAGACCATAACTTCGTAAATCGGATAGTTCTTGGACAATTTTTTAACAGTCTACCTTAAAAAATAGAAACAATTCATTGTAATAGCTTAAATGGTCCTTAGATAAGATACAATTTAAATTTAATAATAGCTCACACGATCCTTTCACAAATATCAATTTTAATTCCACATTTATTGCTCATACGGTCCATTAACAAGTCAGATAGTCCTTGAATGTTCTTTAAAATTTTAGAAGTTTCTTAAAAAGTATAATTTTAAAAATCTTTATCCTTTGCTTTTCTTAAAAAATATTTTTGTATAAAAAAATTTGTTTGTGTCTCAATCAATCCATTAAATATATTCATTATTGTATGAGATTATGAAACTAATATCTATTGTCTTATCCTTCAGCATTTAAAACAATTGGAACATGTGGCCGCCTTACCTTACATGTATGTAAGGGAAATTCCCAATAAACCGCCACCACCCTATGTACCGCCAGCGCATGGTAGTCCCATGACCACCATATTCCCCTCGGAAGAACGTATTAAGGATATAACTTTTAGAAGAACGCATGAACTCTATTGTGAACTCTTAAAGACTGGTAAATACTCTCGAAACCCATCTCAAATATGTGAGCTAATTTTGTTTTTTTTTTATTACCTTCTCTTTTGCAGAATATTGCAACGAAAAAGGTGAAAAACTACCCTCAGTTATGGAGGAACAAATCACCAATATCTATGAACGAATTATCCTAGATATTTGCCGTGAATATCTAGAAGAGCATAGCGAAATTTTACGTGAAGGTGATCCGACGAATTTCCACAGCCAGCTGGCATTTTTCAATCCCCCTAATCGCCTGCATTGCATACAAAATGCTATATACAAAGAGGTGCGTCACTGCCTGGCCATGGACAAGACACCACCTAAACGAACACAAATTTATTCGGTCTATGGCCAACGTGCCAAACAGGATCACATTGGAAAAATCATAATACAAGAAATGTATGATGAAGATGATCGCTGGTGTAATTTTCATCGCGAAGAATCGGAAGTACTAATATTAATTGTTGAGGAAATGATTAATAAAAATATACGTGATATTGCCAAAGAGGTAATGTTAGAAGAAGGTATACCCCTGGATGATGGTGATGCTGATGCTGAAGAAGGTATAGAGATTGAAGAGATTGTTGAAGAAACAAGTGAAATGCAAGAGAACTTGGAAAACACTCTTGAGGAGGAGCAAAGAGTAAGGGAAACCATGATATCCTCAGTGGAAGTAACTGAAAAAGACTCCAGCCAACTAGAACGTCTAAACAATACGAAGTCAATTGATGATATTGGAGCACCAGCATCGCCGGTCTCTGCAACGAATCAACAATGCCATGGCAATGGAGTCGTAAATGATACAAGTAACTCCTTCAAAGTATCCACATCGGCATAGTAGAGATTTGCTGGTCCATTTTTGTATGTATATAATCTAGTGTACTGAAGTAAATTTTAGACATAAATGTATAACTTTTTTAGCAAAACATTTCATTTTATGAAATGTTTAATTTTTATTAAATTAATGGCCTGAATGGAATGGAATATACTGAATTTATCGTTGTTACAGAGATGGCTGAGGAGAGCAGTTCTTAATAAAGTTGAACTCTTGCCTTTCCAATTCAGAGTAACCAAAAGGAATAGTAGTTTTTAAAAGTTCTTTTAACGTTCTGTCTTCTTTGCATAAGCAAAATTACTTATTACATACTACAATTGTTGTATTCTTGAGCCATAATTTCATTCGCAAAACATTAGACGGTATTTATACAAGACCCTTTGATGATCCTCTTAGATTAAAAATTAATTAAAAGACATTCTTACTTGTATCTAAAGGCGTTCGAATATGAAGAGCTATTGTTATTTTTCTTTTTTATTAGGAAATCATTATTAAAATACCTAATCGAGATTTTCTATGTTGGAAAATTATAAAATGATCTTCTAAATGAGAAGCATTTTCTAATTCAAAAAAAAAATTCTGATGGTTTTCAAAACTCAATCATGTTTTTTTAATAGCACTGGACCCTCATTTTTTGTTACCTTTTGATTTCCGTCTTCAGCCATTCTTTAGGTGGTCTTCTATTTTTTAACTCTTTCAGACTATCTTCTAATTCAGATGGTTTTCTATTTTAGAATCTATTTCATATTCTTGTTACAAATAAATATGACCGCATCTTCTTTGATTTCATTCATCGGTCCATTTTCTTCTATTTTAAAAGACTTTCAGATTGTTTTCGTTTTATCTAACGATTATCTAATTCAGATAAACGTCTAATTATGTTCTTTGTTAGAAGGCCTTTTAAAGGTTACAAATAGATTCCATTCGATTGCCATCGTCGATCATTCTCCAAATGGTCTTCTATGTTAGAAGAACTTAAGATCGTCTTCAAAATTTGAAGTCAGTCAGACGGTCTTCAACATTAAAAGACATTCTAATGGGTTTCTGTACGAATACACCATATAATGACCATTTTTACATTTGAAGACCTTCTCTTGGCCTGCTAACGGCAATTGATACTAAAAGACATTACGTTCATATTACAAGATCCTTTTAAATTAAAAAGAGTCCTGAAATCTTTCAATATATTAAAGACACTTTAATGACCTTCTGAATAAGAAGATTTCCTGACTGTAATCTTATAATTGTAGGTCTTCTGAGTTGGGAGTTGTCCCCGTCTTGTTGTAAGAAATAGATCCAATTTGATTTCCATCTTCAAAGTTTATAAACCAATTAACCGTGATAACTGACCTATCACAATAAGTTTAACTTATGTTTTCTCAAGTCAAGTTTATTGTGGCTAGACAATTATCACGGTTAGCCCTTTTAGCAATAGAAATTTTGTGTTATTTCTTCTTCTTTCCCGCTAAAATTCTAATTTCTCCTAACATCCATTTTAAATTCTGTATAAGAGTTAATCCAACACAATCTAAATGCTCACATTTTTGAGAATTCTGAATTAAACACTCTTTATTATTAGACCGGAAGCAATCATGGAATTTTTATATTTTTCAAATAAAAAAAAAACCAATAATGCATTAGTTAATATTTTTATTTTTGTATTGAAAATTATAAGTAATATTAGTTTTTCCTTTTTTCCCGGAATGTAGATAATCTCCTTCAGGAGAATACTTACAATTATGTCCAAAAAAATGTTTCTAAAAACTTCCAGCCATACAACGAAAACCGGTAAATTCCATTTCTTTAGGCCAAATATGTTTTTTCCTCAATTTTAATTTGTCTTCGAAAAATTATATGCCATTTTTTATTCTAAATAATAGTCTTCAATATTATATAATGTTTATGTATAAAATCTAGTATCTACTGAAATTAATTTTTAATATGTACTTAAATTACCTGTTATACTTTTATAAAAATAATTTTGTTTTTCGCTAATATGTATGTATGTACTTATACGTATACGAATCAATCACAAACACTAAGAGACACACACACAAAACACAACAATTTTTATAGCATAAGATAGATTTATTTTACTACTATAAATACACCCTGTACCTTCCTCCCTATCGCCCCAAACCACACAGTCCATTCGTCAATCCAATGTTTCGTACAAAATTTGTTCGTAAGTTTTTCTTTTTGTCGTTTTTCGTTGATTCAATTTTCTTTTTTAGTTTTACAATGTAACAAATAAGTTTAGTAGCCGCCATACAATATAACTTATCGTTTAGGATTTAGCATACAAATACTTTGTCTGCTATTATATAGAATTAGATTGTCATTGTATCTAAAAAAATTGCAACTACAACAAAAACTAAAGAAATCTTAATTTGTCTTAGTTTTAAAATGATCTATACATACTACATACAAAAGAAAGAAACAAATTGAAATACAATACAATATAAACAAAATTAGTTGTTTTTATTATAAAAATAATAAGTATAAATTAACGGCGTTACCGACGTTTTTCACCAAACAATTTAAACACATGTATTTAAATGAGAGTTACCCAAATATGTCGGGCGTACGAAACAAATTCAACATTGACAATTGAACTACGTAATAAAAGCAAATGTCGAACCAAATTGCTCCTCTTTTCGAATAAACATCATAGATTCGGAACTAATATTTTCCAAAAACATGTGATCTCTAAAAAATATCGGTATTTGCTTGGCTTAATAAGAAAGGTTGCTCAACTTCAAAGAAACTAGAAAGATACAACTCTGTGTTGGAGTCTTATTGTGTCAAATAATATTTTAAATATGCAACAGTAGGCTTTGGTAATTTTTAATTTTTTTAACAAAATCCTTATATTGGGAAAAATAAGGGCACCTAAAGATAAAAATTGTATTTGGGGGGTAGCTTTGTTCTACAGTCTGTAATTGTGCCATGGGTATTTGAGAAAGCAAATGTTTCTACCATTGTACCATGCTACAATAATATCAAGGTAGGGCTATGATACCATATGATTTTAATTTTTTTTATTGCCTTGGCTTAATATGTCAACTTTATTTGTTTACGTATATGTTTTCTTTTCAATAACAAAAAAATTGTTCAGAAAATATTCAAATTCGAGTGTTTTCAAAATGTTTATTTCAATGTATGCATCGACAGAATCTACAGTTTTTGTAGCGAAATAAACCTTTAGAGATATATAGAACATGATTTTGAAAAGAAATTTTGACCTTTCATTTAGTTTTCGCGGTTTTCAATTATTTATTCAAAACAAATGCAACAAGTTGTTTGATTTTTTATTGTTTTGATACTAATTCCGACAAAGTTAGCCGACCTTCTCTCCATGGTACAATGAAGACTTGTACAATGCAATGGACACTGCTGAATTTATTCAGTTGACCAATGACTGGTTCAATGTACATAATTCATCTCCTGGTACAACTGGTTTGCCCGGAAAGGTAAGGAAATTGCTAAAAAAAAACTAGGGCTTTATCAAATTAATTATTTTTTTACAATAGTTCCTACCATTAGTAGGAACCATTCGGCAATGACCTACAAAAACAAAAAAATGTATTGGAAGACTGACCAAATTAATGTCAACACCTATTATCCTAATAAGAATACATTGGAAGTCTTCCAAAAAGGGAATTCTGGTATCGAACAGCGCCCCAATTATGTTATACGAATACGTACAAAAGTTCAAAATCTAATGTATTTTAACTCGACGACTTAACCAGGATACATTGGAAAACTTTTTTGACGCAATACAAAGTAAAGGTGACCTTAACAACCACCCATAACCACAGGACTTTAAGTTTAAACCACAGGACTCGACGTAAATGAAAATTTCGAATGGATCAGTCTAAATGAATTAATTACTGATAATAATACGAATCCGAAAATGAGGAACGAAACACCCGATTTGGCCGAAATCAACGAAATGAATGCTCATGACATTGGCATTGTTCAAGATGACGCTTTAGAATATACACCTAATTCTGTTTTTACATGGTCTTTTTGTACACGGTTTTGATATAACACGGTTTGAAAATTGAATACTTTTAATTTATTTACACGATTTTATTCCATTTAGCACGATTTGAAATTTTATGTACTTAAAATTTTTTTGTCAAATTTAATTTTTGCGAAGTATGTTCATATCACAAAAAAGTATTTATGAAAGAAAAAAGTCTGAAACCATCGATAGTATCGATAGTTTGCGAACACTAGCTTAAAGATTTAAGTGAATTCCCCTTTAGCGCGTACAAACACTTTTTACTGGTCAAAGCAAATGTGAATAGCACTACGTGCATACAATAAAATTTACTGGTCAGAGCAATTGAAACGTGTTAATATTTTGTGAACTGTTAATGCAATAAGACGTGTTTGGTAAAGAAAAAAAAACTTCTTGTTTTTCACTAATTTTAATAGGTTTTAGAGATTGTTCCTAATCACCCATTTTTGTATAAGATCAATGTCTTTTTTACACGGTTTTTTTTTACACGACTTCTTCTGGAACCAATCTACCGTGTAAAAACAGACTTAGGTGTATATCAGGGTATATGATTCGAAAGTTAAATCTGGAAGAATACCAATGTCAGGAGCAATCATTATGAAACCATCTGAGCAGCAATTAGAAACTATTTATAATAAAATTAATGTTATTACTATATCCCATTCAAAAAAAAAAATAAATAAATAAATAAAGAACGCCTCGTAAAAGAAAGCCTAGAAGTTAATTAGTTAGAAGTTAATTTACCAAATGCCGGATTCATTTCAGAGTTCGGCATTTAAATAAGCGTCTTAAAGTTCAAAAGGCCAAACAAAGAATTATGGGATATAAGAAGCTGTTAAAAATCAATTTATTAGAAGGTAAATGAAAACTGTACATATTCTATAAACAAAAATTGTAATTTTTAAATTCTTCCAAAATAGAACAAAATGAATTATCTTAAAACAAATCATTTTTGATTACAAACACATTTGATACGGCCAAAACGGGTCTCATCCAAACAACGGTTCGAGACCCCAGGTCTATTTGGGTCAAATCCGTTTCAGGACATTTGGAATCGACCTAGAGGGAGCCCCCGATTTGGCTTAGAAAATATAGATCGAGTTCGTAGATGAGCCGTATTGTTCCAATCCTATTGGTACCTACCTCAAAAAAGGTCAATTTCAAAGAAAATAATTTACCAAAAACATATCATCCAATTTTTTAAACTCTGTGCATCCCAATAACCGTATCAGTGCTAGGACGATATCCGTCTACTCCCTCAAGTACCTCCACCACAAAGGGCCAACAATTTGAATTGAAAAAAGAAAAATAGAACAATGCTTGAGAAACATTTATTTTGCACAAACTTTTCTCAAATCTGTCCATTGTTGACCAATTTGTTTTGATTTTTTTTTGTCAGCTAACAATTGTTTTCTCTGGCTAAAAGCAAAATCTTGCAAATTTAGTACCCATTTCAGGTAATGATGAACAATAAATCTGGGAATCTGTGGTATATATTATTTCAATCTCATTTCAGACTGGAGGCATTAAAAAAGTAGCAGGAAACCAATATATGTGTAGTCTTAGTGGAAGAGATGTAGAATCTCAAATAAAGGAGAAGAAAGCGTATCTTGATACCACATGAGGCAGTGATGAAAAGAAAAAAATGCGTAAAATGATTAAAAATTAACAAATAATATTTTACACTACTACAAAAATAAGCTTAATATAATATTAGATTCGTAAGCTTATTCTACAATTACAAGTATAAGCTTATAAATAAGGGTTCAATTTCGATTATTCTATACTTGTTACACAAACCTTTTTCAATGTTTTCTCAAGATTTAGGCTTATGTTAACAAGCTTATTAACACGGACAGACGAATGGAAGGACACACATAGCTAAATCAACTGAGCTCGGCGAGATAAGAAGATCCCTATACAATATTCCATGTCTTAGATCAATATTTCGAGGTGTTATATAATTTTTAGACCAATCAAAGTTATAATACCCCCAACACATAGTATTGTAGGGTATAACTATTTATATAGAGGACACTACCTACGACTTCTGGACGACTTCGTGTCGAAAATCCATTTAATTTTCAATGTTAACTAAAATCTAAATAAAAACCGTAAAAGGGCTACTAAACGGAAATTTTTAATGAATGTTTTCAATGTATGTTTTCTATGATTACAATTACAAAAATTAATAAACTATAAAATTTTATTTTATTTATTTTTTTTTTTTTTTGGTTTGTCGCGTGCTCACAAACGTGACTTCTTTTAAGAAAATATTTTCATCAACCATCAAATATTTTATGATTAATGTTATCTGAAAAGAAGTCACGTTTGTGAGTCAGTAGCATGGTAGAATTAAGAAGGCAAAGTCATGTAATCATATGTTTACAATTGTTTTAGATTTATACATTTGACAACATCTCATTGTCAAAATCTATATTCATAAATCAGAGATGGGAACTGTTTCTTATGCCTTTAAATTTGACAAGGTAAATTACAGAAAAAGCAGATTTGGGAATGCTAATTAGAAATTGAACAATTGTCAATAGCAATCAAACATATATTTTGCAAAGAATATCTTAGAGACTACCAAAAATATTTTTAATTTTTTCCTAATATTTCTTTTTTTCAAGCACTATCGGAGTCCCCTAACATTTTATAATGATTTTTTTCTATTCGATAATCAACAGGAAATTAAAAAGATTTTCCGTATTTATTTCCTAAAACGTTTTTATGTATTTTTTCGAAGAGTATCACAAGGTCCCAAACCTAAATTTGTTATAGAACTTTTTTCAGTAGCTAATAAGTATATTTTTTATTAGTTATTTTTACAATTTTCGACGAATATCAGATATTTTTATTTTTTTATTAATTTTCAATTGTATTTTAATTTTTTTAAATTATTATTAGGTCTTTTTTTCGTAGAACAATTAGCAGCCCCAAAACGTGTTTAAAAAAGAAATATACAAAAAAAATATTTTTAAAAATTTTTTGTTTCCAATTTGATAGATAATATAAGTTATGGGCCCTGTGGGCTTATTTATATTTCTTTGTAAGGTAAATAAATGAAATGAAATGAAATATTTATTTCCGGATATTAAGTAAATTTTAAAAGCAAAATCAACATTCAATGGATTAAAAACGTCGTTTAAATACAATTTCGAGCGCAATTTTTTTTGTGTTCCGAAAATGTAATTGGTGATAATGCTCTTTAATTGAAATTTTATTCTAACATATATCTGTTGTGAGCAGCGCCTCTACGTATTTTTTCACATAAACCACTTTTTGTCCCCTTCTCTATACATTCAAACATGCAACAAATATTCATTCGAAATTTTATATTATAACAGAAAAAGTCCCGAGTCAATTGATGTAATTTTATGTATCTTCCCGCCCAAATCTTATGTCACATCTGGTAACACCTCATACATTTATCTGTCATGCTATACAAAATAGAGAGTGGCAAAACATATGACATGCTATAAACAAACAAAATACAACTAGCACAGCCGAAGTGTTTTATTTCTTTTGCTCCAAAAAAGAAAGAAAATTATTGCACATAGTCTTATAAACATCGTTAAAATAAAATATTTAAATCTAAAGGTATTGTGGAAAGTTGAAAAAATGAAAGTCGAATGTGAAATGCCGAGCAAACAAACCGTGCAACAGACTACTGCAGTGTCTGCCATCAGACCAGGAGGCGGTGGTGGTGTCGTATGGTCACGCGAAAAAGTAAATCAACTGATCGATTTGTACAAAAAGAATGAATGCCTTTGGAATCACTGGCACGAGTCCTATAAGAGCAAGGATAAACGTAATCGGGCCATTGAAGACATTTGTTCGACTTTGAACATTAGTAAATTTGATTTTGGCAAGAAGATTCATAATCTACGCAATCAATTTAATACGGAAATGAAGAAACTGGAACAACGCATGGAAGAGGCTGGAGCTGAGGGTAGAGATGCAAGTATTGGCTGCAAATGGAGTCATTTCGAGGCGTTAATGTTTTTGCGTAATGTAATTGAACCACGGCCAGGTGGCTATCAGAGCAGCTGTAACTATCAGACACCAAAGGTAAGTGAGCAGCTAAGTCATGAAATAGAACCAACTAAATTGAATACATTTGTTTCTGATTATAGAAAATGCGTTTACGATTTGACTACAACAGTGCCGAAGAGGATGTACATGTTACAGTAATACCGCAAAATAATAGTAGTAGCTCCACAACTTCCAATCAATATAGCAATGATGATACGTCCCAGTCCCAGTTACAGTATGAAGACAATCATGGAGAGACATCAACTGAAGATTTTCAAAATTTTGAAAACGAGTTGAACGAAGTTGGAACCAATGGTGAGGGTGGTGCTGCTGTTCAATCGACACTTGTGTCTGAAGAGACAATAGATCAAAAATATTTGCCCACCTTACAACAGCAGCAACAGATGCAAAGGCAACATTTTATCTCAACACCCCGCACATATTTACAACAAAAGCCAAAACAACAACATGCTGCCCCCAGTCATAATTATTCCACATTAACAACAAATAACTCTGCAAATGAAACTAATCATGCCGGCAATGTTATACATCTCAATCATGAAAATGCTGCTTCCATAATTGAATTGAATTCCAGTAATATATCATCTGCAGTGCTCCACAGCAACAGCAACAACAATGTGACAACTTCCTCTCCATCAGCAACAATGGTTAACAATAATCCAGTTATTGCGTCTTCTTCCAATACAAATCATACAACCGTAACCACATCCACACCAGTTGCCCGTGATCAATGGGATGCTTTTGGAGAATTGGTTGCAACGGAGTTTCGTAATTTGAATTCAGATTTATCTCGTAAAAAACTTAAACGTAAAATTATGCAAGCAATGTTGGAGATTGGTGAAGAAGATGACGGTCTATAGTTTATTGGTATTTAAGGTTTAACAAAAGGCATTTGTTTATAAAGTTACGTAGTTTTAAAATAAACAAAAAGCAATATGTAAATTTAATTATAAAACCAGTAAAAAGCAGCTAAATTCGTCCGGACCGAACTTTCAATACCCTCCACCATTAGGAAGGATCTTGAACATTTTCAAATAATTTCGAAAAATAGCCCTTAAATGAAAATTTATATATGGGGGTGGCTATTCGAAGACGTAGACATTCATATACAATTTTCCGTCACTGATTATAGTACCCATAACGAACTGCAAATATTGAAAGAATTCCGCTGAATAAAGTCGCTAAAATCATCAAAATACCGAATATTGGGAGGCACCCTTGTATGGGGGCTATACGAAACCGTTGACCGACAAGGCCCATTACAATAGGTACCATAATTATCATGAAAATACCATAATTGAAGCATACTTTAAGGCGAGAAAAAATACCATGATATATATTTGAGATATTCTCACGTTACAGACATTGCCAATTGGAAAAGGGCAGACAGATGCCAGACAAGCAGTTGATCCTTCTTAGAACATTTACAGAAATATGTACTGAGATTGTAAGAATTTGATTGCAACCAGATTTTTTGCGAGGAGATATGCAACCAAATTATGATTTCAAATAATTTTTTGACCTTTGATTTGTTTTAAGGATGTTCAGTTACACAGGAGTCATCAGTTGATTCACTCGGAGATCTTTGGTCCAATGTGTTCAACTAGGAATTGTACATTGAGATAGAGAAATAATCTAAAGGTAGTAAAGAACTCTTTGTAGAAGTACGTTGGTTTGCCTAGACATGCCTTAAGCATACAAATTATGATAGCACCAGAGTCGGAGAAGAATATGAGAATTTATATTTCCCACCTACCAAATAGCTTTTGTATCATGTTAAATAGCATGGTATTTGCTCAATTGTCACTACCACCTGTTGTCCCATCTTGAGGTCAGATATTTGATCCTGCAGTGAACAGTCCATATGCTTGTGGTGATATGAATTTCTAAATGACAGAAGGGTCAGAAGTCGAAGGACTGGGAACCATCCAAGCTAACCTACTTGCCATTTCATTCTCCATTGTGTTGCTATGGACTGGTACCCAAAAGAGCTCAATGATTTCATGTATTTCAAACAATGGCACTTACCTTGATTTCAAAGGGTCGCATGACTACCGACTAATACAGTCATAAGTCTTGTTATGTTATATCGAGTTATCTGAGCTGATGCTTATAAGAGTTTGTATCTTTGTTTAAAAACTTGCAAAGAAAGTTTCGATCCATTAGGAACACAAACATTTAGATTATAGCAAAATGGTTCACAAACCTGTCACAAGAAATTTTTCCTGTCGGTAAATGGGGTTGCTATCTATAAGGGAAACCTACTATTATTCAAACTAATATTAGATTTATCAACGGTCCTAATTAATAACTAAAACGATTTATTTATTAAATTTTTTAAAAATATCTCAACATAAAAATGTTCCAAATATCATGCTAGAAAAATTACTTATTATAATAAAGCATGTGATACACTGATTTGCAACAATTATTTTTTGCCATTTATATAAAACTGGGTACTGAAAAATTCACGTCAGAACTGAACCGAAAATATTTCGATGTCCACTAATTTTGATTAATTTATCCATCTCCATATATTTGTAAATAAACTGAGACAAGCACTTCTAATCACGAGCCAAAATGCAACCCAATAAAGAACGCCAGGTACCCCAAGCCACATGACACAATACACCGGCAGCTATTATTATTGTTGTTGTTACTTCCATTACAATGTAAACAAGGAACACATATTGCACCCACCATAATTAATAAACACAATCACTGTAATTTCTTTTTTTAAATTATTACAACATTGTTGTTGTATCATTTAATGAAGAATGTTTTTTTTACAAAAAATTCTGCTTACTAAGGTGTTACTTGTTGTTGTTATCATTCACGTTGGAAAAAATCCTGCATTTTAAAAACAAATACAGCTTCCCAGATGAATTTCTTAATATTTATGCACCTCAGTTATTCACACTCCTCCCAGTTCCAATGGACAAACATTGTCTGTCCGTCATCACTTGGCATACACAAAACAACAACTATAGAATAATTTTGCAGGGTGGGGGGTCAAGCATAGCGAATTTACTTGACTTCCTTAACTTGCAAGCCTGGGGGAAGGGATTGCTTGATTTTCTCGGCCTTCTCTTTGTCTTGAACGACCAAGGTGTACAAGAAACGGGAGCAACGAATCTTGAATTTGGTGTTGCTGGGGTTCTTCTTTATTTTGACGGCACGAGCATCGGCACGACGGGCCTTGTTCAGGAAATCCTTAACTTCTTTGATTTCGCGGGGCATCTGTAAATTACCAAGAGGAGAGCAGCACATTAGTCATCGGGGGACATTTTGGTCGGTATTTTAATCCAAAACTTACATTGCAAAATTATTTTTGTAAAAAATTACGAGAAAACCAACCAATATTGATGTTTTCCACGTTTCGAAAGAAAGAGAAAAGGAAACACGAAGTTGGTTGCAGTTGACATTCACGGCATTGCCATATGGAAATTTTAATAATTTCGAACATGCGAGGTTATTTGCAGCGGAACGTAATAACGTGGCATATTACGTGGGCAGAATTTAGTTATTTTTGACAAAAAAATATTTGTTTTAAATTTGATTTAATGTTTATTTTATTATGTATGTAGATATTTATACTCCTCAGTTAGATCCCATATGAGTAAGTTTCGTTGTCCAAACTAGAGTTAAGTAATCTCAATCCCTCAAAATTTAATATGAAAATAAATTTGTCTGTCAAATGTTTTATGGTTCAATTTATATTATATTTATTTATTTATTTTAATATTCTTCTATATTCATAATAATTTGGTTCCAGTAGCCCATAAACCCTTTCTTATAAGATGATAGGAAGATAGATAGATGGAATGGAATAAGTTCAAAATAAAAATATCAATTTAGTAACGTAGATGTGCAGATTATATCAAAGTTTAAATTGTAATTTTCTTATCAAATGAAGGCGCAAATTAAAGGTGTTAATTTAATGTAGTTCAATTTAAAAAAATGTATGCTATTTTTCAGGGACTGTAGATATCCTGCTCATTACACAATTTTTATCAATATAATAGTACGTTTATATATATGAGGGTTAACCCACTGGATTTGGATTTAAATTGTCATATCCATTACTTTTACTTCAAATAAATCCTCTCAAAGTAGGTTAACCCTACAAAAAGTTCTAACGTAAACATGGCATAAGCTTGAAAAGATTTGCAAGTTTTATTGAACGGTATCAAAGGTGTTTTTTTGTGAATTTAACAATGCGTTTAGATAATACCTGTCATGCCATTGTGCAAACATAGAAGGTCGCACTCTTGATACAATACCTACGGTTAATTAAATGTATATAATGATACTCTGAAGCTAGCAAATGCCGGCTTAACTCTAGTTTAGTAAAAACTATTCTATTTTTTCGAAATTTGTTCCAGTTCTTTTACCCTGATTCCGGGAAACTATTTTTTTCTTGGGGGATGGACACGGGACTCCAGATTTTTGAACCGAATGTCCGGGTTCAAGACCCCGACTATTTTTTTATACCTTACAAAAAGTCGAAAAGGGGCCCATTTTGGGGGTCAACCAAATTGAAAAGTTATTAGCACAAATTGTAGCATTTTGGAAAGGTAAGAGTGTCAGCAATAATTTGGCGTCAGTTTGGTTGACCCCATAATGGGCCCTTTTTCGACTTTTTGGGGTTTTTATAAAAAATCCGGGTCTAAAAAATTAATAATTTGACTATAACTTCGGAATCGTTGGATAATCGTTTATATTAATGATTTCTCTGAGTGTTTGAATACAAACTCCTGTGATGCATTCGTATTTGCTGATGATATTTTCTTATTGTTTAGTGCTGATAAGGGATGTGAGACTATTTTAGAAAATAATATAAATGTGTGTCTTAATTCAATACTCCAATGGACAAGCAGCAATTCTTTGACGATAAATCCTTTAAAAACAAAAGCAATTCGATTTACTTCTAATGAGATGGTAATAAATATTTTTATTGGACAAACTATGGTACAATTTTTAGATCACCACAAGTGCTTGGGAGTCATTATTGATAGAAGGCTTAATTTTGGACCTCATATTGACTCTGTTCATGCTAGAGTTTATGGAATTTTGCGTAGACTTTACTCAACTTGTTTCTATTTTCCAAAATGGATTAAGTTCAGAATTGCTTATGCGCTATTAATGCCGTTGGTTTCCTACGCCTTAGAAGTCATATCTGGAACTGTCTATTACAATGTTCTTAAATTGAAATGCATTGTTAACTCTATTATCCGATATGTCTATAATATTCGCCGGCGTGATCATGTTTCCCCATTTGTTAAGCAGTTTCTGGGATTGCCTTTCGAACGATATATTGACCTTCGCAATTTGCTTTTTTTTACAAAATTATTAAAACTGGTATACCCTTGCCTCTGTGCGATATGTTTAAATTTACACGTTCCACTAGAAATACCCAGATTGTTTTACCAAGGATTTTTAACTCTCAATTTGAGAAGTCTTTTATAATTCGCGTTGCAAGATGCTGGAACTTCCTACCTGTTGACCTGCGCATTTTTTCGCATTCTAATAATGTGATTCGTTTAAAGTTATGTAACCATTTAACTACTACTGAATTGTAACTTTGCATAATCTCACCTTTGCCTTACAATTTTCCATTTTTCACTTGTTGTTTCTTCGATTTATTCGCCTATTCTATAATTCTGTATTTAATCTTTAAGTATTTGCGGCTGGGGAGCCAACAAATTTAAACTCTAACTTAAACAAAAAAGATAGAGTAAGATAAAGTATTTTATAGTAATAAATAAAATAAATATTTGTATTTGTATAATTAAGATTTTTTCTATTTGGTAATATTACATTGTATTGCTATTTTTGGCCTAAAAAGGCTTCTGTGTTACGAAATCTTGAATAAATAAATAAAAAAATAAATAAATAGGTATTTTCATAAGCTTTTAAATGATACCTATATTCTCTATATAGGGCAAGTGGATCCGAATCTTTAACCCAGATTTTCGGGTCAAAAATCGGGGGTCCCGGGTCCGTCCCTCAAGAAAAAATAGTTTCCGGGAATCAGGGTAAAATAACTACCTCTGGAAAAAAATTGGGAAAAAATCGAAGAGTTTTTACTAATGATTACTTTTCAGAGTAAGTAGAGGTAAATAAGTGGAACGTCATTGTTGTTTTCACAATATCGTTATCCTAATACGATTACAATTATTTTTCATCACCAAAATCTATAAATATGAATTAGACAATTTTCAAAATTATTTTATTTTTTATTCAAAACAAAACATATAAAACCTGAATACACATTTAACATTACAAGTCTGCAAAAAGAAAAATAGTATTCAGGTGATTGCTATGCCCAGTGTTTTTCAATTATTTTTTAAAAACGTGCGATTCTCTGTTACATAAATTGTCAATTTAATTCGATTGTTTGCACGTTATTAAGTGTGTGTGTAGTTTATATCGCCAAAAACCAAGGGTATTTTGCACTTTCCCTCTCCTGCTCATACAAATTTATCCACATGCAAAATTTTAAATTATTTTTCACATTAAAACACTCAATATAGGTCCCATTAAAAAATTCACATTTAATTTCTAAAACAATATACATATTTACATAACACAAAATGAACTACTTAAATATTCTTAAAATATATACAATAATTCGACCAAAAAAGTCTGTACTTGAACTAAATATAAATTTTATTCTCTTCACATTTGTTTGAGTTTCTTTAAGTTGGAAAGTTTGAACGGCATTGATGTCTTCAGCGTAAAATGGCTGCTCATAAGAAGTTTTTGTATCCGCTGCATCTCCGCTTTGAATTTCTATTTTAGCATCTTTTGCGGCAAATCCACCTTGAAATTGGAATGAAAACGCCGAGATCGTTTGCAACTCTTCAAATTCTATGTGTATGTATTGTGGTGAGCCCTAAATTAGGGGGAAAACAAATGTAAATTAGCAAATGTTACTGTTTTCTGTAAAACGTTAGTTCTAGCTTAAAATTTCAAAAAAAATGTTACATAGACCACCAATATCTTACTTCACTCGAACTCCATGCCGTATCATCTTGTTCATCGTACAGAAATTGTTTGCCATGTTGTTTCGTATCTTTATTCAATACAGAACTGACACTAAAACGAAAGTATACAATTGCATATTAAATTGGTGAAAAAATTGTAGAAATATACCTAATTTACCTGCATTTAAACTTTTGTATTGTTAATAGATTTTCCATGATGTTGATGTCTCAATTCTAACATTCACAAAGAAGAGCATATGAACTAGTTTATTATTGTGTGTCGCTGGGTTAATGGGTTCACACGGTTAGTTGTTTTGTTTTTTACGATAGCATTACCAACATCAAAATATTACAGCTTTTAACCCTTTTGTAAAAATTGATCTAGGCATAGTGGTCATGGAATATTGGTTTTCTCCACAAAATTTAATCCAAGATGCACTACACTCATTCGTAAACAACAGAGTATCCCGAGTCTTTGCGTTCGTTTATTTTTTTATCGAGTATTCCTTTGTGGCCTTCATATTCGTTTCGTTGGGACGTTTTTATTTTTGTTTCCAACGCTCTCATAATTCGCTCTTCATTCAGAGCACGAAGCCGATCGGCTCGCAGTCGGCGCGCAGCCGCCGCCGACTTTTTTATGTGATCTGAGCAGCTCTCATCGGCTCAAATGTCTTTTAATCTTATCGATTAATAAACATATTAAAATGCATATTATTGGACGATAATTTACATTGCGCACTCGTCTTCGAAGAAGAAGCAAATACATGTAGGCTATTTATATTAATTATACCCTACACCAGATAGTGGTAAGGGTATTATGTCTTTGTGGATTTGTTTTTTTATTACAAAACCTTTTGTAACTTACGAATTTTCATGGAGTGGCAACCAGATTGTTTGCCAAAAATTCGTAGTGGTTTTGCTTCTTTAAGGAAAAGAATGCAAAATGTGTCAAAGAAATATAAAAAATTATTTTTCCGCTGACCAAAAGGGTCAAACAGTTTTGACTAAATCAGAATCCGATTTAGACGAATCTGTTGATACTGAAGTCAATATTTCTCTATATGTAGATGTATCTCAATATGAAGATCTTTTTGAAAAGAAAAATGAATTTAAAAGTTTGGAAAAGGTTGTTGTAAATGATGGTGGTATATCAATATGTTGGAAATATTTTGATGATCTCTATTTTAAAAAGAGGCATATACTTCAAAAACATAAATTTTGCAAATTGTGTTTCGATGAAAAGACCGATTTAAAAAGGTAAGAATTTCTAATTTTTTCCATTCGCATGTATGTAATTGTTTATGATTTTAGTTTTGGAAAATCAACATCAACCACAATTTATATGAACCATCTACGGGCTGTACATAACTTGGATGTGAAATCTTTAAATAACCAGAAAAGTTCAAAAATGACACAAAATGCATTGAAATCCTCATCAAGTTGTAACAACAAAATGCTCGCCGGGTCGCCGAAATGTGCTGTTGCGATTTGCAACCGTTTAAAATTGTTGAAAGGCCAGGATTTAAGAAATTGATATCTTTCTTAAACCCAAAGGCTATATTCCCCACAGATAGGACAATAGCTACGACGGCTTTAAACGATGTTTATAACATATATTTGGCCCACGTAAAAACAATCCTTGAAGAGTCGCCCAAAAAATTTTACCCTTGTATTGGATGTGTGGTCAGATAAACATAAGCACTTGTCTTACATAAACATAAAAGTGCGTTTCTGCCAAAATTTTCAAATGAAAATTGTAACGCTCAAGACAGAGATCTTTCCACGATCTCACACTGGAACAGTAGTTGTAGAAAAAATTGAAGAAGCTTTATGTGAATCTAATCTGTTGAAAAAAAAACATATGTGCTGTATCAAATATTCAAAATATGGAGGAACAAAGCGATTTAGTAAAAATATTTACAGAGGTTGAAATAATTTTGGAGAGTTTGGATAGTTGCGAACAATTTCCACATGGAGATGACTATTTTACTGAACAGTTTGAAGCAACTTTAAACGTCAAGCAACACACCTCTTTGGAAAATTCCGTTACAACACGTTGGAACTCTCTGCTTGCAATGATCAAAGCTATACCAATAATATATCCACTATAAATGTAGCATTAGTTAAGGCTAAAAAGAATCTGTTAGTGATTGGGACGATGGAAAAGCAAATTATAACGGAATTTGGCACGTTTTTAAAAATTTTTGAGGACGCCATTTATTTTCAGGAATGCATTATGTCCTTATTGAAGAAAGAAGAAAAAAGGTAAACTTAACTGACGTATATTTTACTTGCAGAAAATATCAGCTACTCGTCAAAGAATGCTGGAATTTATGGGACCATCGCATTCTAATGTACAAAATAACGTAGAGTTAGAAATAAGAAAATATTTGGAAACGAAAGTCGAGGCGGTTGAGCCTCTAGATTGGTGGCGACAGAACAAACAAGTACGTTAAAGATTCACATTTTAAATTTGTTTTAATCATGTTACGTTTTGACCATTTACTTTTTATAGATTTTTCCAAATGTTGCTAGTGTAGCAAAATACGTGCTTTGGAATTCCAGCCACATCAGCATCTTCTGAGCAAGCATTTTCATATGCCGGGAATCGTGTAAATGCAAAGAGAAGCAGCCTGCACCCGGAAACAGTAAAGAAACAATTATTTGTTCACGATAACAAGGCGTTCGTCGAACCATTTTTATCGAATTAAAGTATTTTTATTACAATTTTTGAAGTGCTATAAGCAACAAATGTGCATATAAACTTATATTTTCATTTTTATTTTAAATCAAATGAATTGACAGTTATGAAATCAAACGAAATCTTTTTTCACGTTAAAGTGCTCGGCTGTAGCCGACTTTTAGCTGCCGCCGGCCGTATATTGCTTTAGCCGCTGCTGCCGATTTTCTTTCGACTGCGTTGTGTTGTTGTACAACAATATTAACAACAACCACATACAAACTTGTTTTTGTAAGTAATAAAAGTGTCAGAGTTATATGTCTAAAAATGTAAACAAAATAATTAATTTTCAACAAATTATTTTAATTTCAAAAATATACATTTTTGGAATTTGGATTATTAAATTGACAATGCAGAAGAATACTTCTTAAAATATGTAAAATTAATGCTTTCACATCATTCCCCTGAATGTATAGTTGTTAGCTGTACGTCCAAATCTCTTAACACTTCAAGCAATCGCTAGAAAATCGTGGAAAAGGCAACATCCCTTCCAAGTTGAAACCAAACAGCATACATACATAAAGTATTCTACATTTTGCAATTTTAGAAACATAAAATATACGAATTTATTATCTTACGTGGTCTCGCTGTTCCCCAACCCCCAAAAAGTTTCCGAACCATCACCTTGAGCCTTCTGTTAAGTTCAACGTCGATTTTTTCTTTTATTAGGCAAAAAATATGTTCACATTGTCCTGCAGTGAAATCTCATATCAAAAAAGGGTATACCTATTGTATATCAAGAAATGAAATTAAATCACAAAACATCATATCGAGTTTGACACTATTATTACTATAGAGTCAAATCATCTGGGACTTGCTGTTACCTGTAATAATTATACCATGCGACTGCAGTCGACTTTTAGCCGCCGCCTACTTTTGATGTGCTTAGCCGCCGCCGCCAAGAATTTCACATCGGCTTCGCCCTCTGTCTTCATTGTAGAAAAGTTAAAGTGAATTTTGTTTTTTTCTTGATTAGTTAAGTATAAAACAATTATGATAAAAGCTATTTTAGTTTTTAACAATCATGGCAAACCGCGCCTCTCCAAATTTTATCAATATTTTGTAAGTTTTATCATTGATTTGGCAAACCAATATTTACATTAGATTTTTAACATTGAACATCTCTCTCGCAGAATGAAGATATGCAGCAGCAAATAATCAAGGAAACATTCCAACTGGTATCAAAGCGAGATGATAATGTGTGCAATTTTTTGGAAGGTGGCAGGTTGGTGTCCAATTAGATTGTTGTTATTGTACATCTAATAACTTTACGTTTTGGTTTCTATATTTTCAGCTTAATTGGTGGCTCAGATTATAAGCTGATCTATCGCCATTATGCCACGCTGTACTTCGTGTTTTGTGTTGATTCCTCAGAAAGTGAACTGGGGATATTAGATCTCATTCAGGTGTTTGTTGAAACACTTGACAAATGTTTCGAGAATGTGTGTGAGTTGGACCTAATTTTTCACGCCGATGCCGTACATCATATCCTGGCCGAATTGGTCATGGGCGGTATGGTTCTACAGACAAATATGTCCGACATAATGGCTCGGATTGAGGAACAGAATAAGTTAGTTAAACAGGAGGCTGGCATATCAGCGGCGCCCGCTCGTGCCGTTAGTGCGGTTAAAAGTATGAACATTCCCCAGCAAATCAAAGATATTAAACTGCCCGATTTGCCTCAAGCCATCAAAGACTTAAAATTCTGACCAGGGCAAACCACAAACGTCAATAACAGTTCCACATTTGTTGATAGTTTTGTTTTGCAACGTCTCACTTCACCGACATCCAACATAAACCCAACCACAGCGCTAAGTTCTCTGGCTGCGTATGCGTTAAACCCAAACAATAACAATGGTAACAACAGCAGTACAAATAATAATTCATTAAAGTTTGCCAATAAGAATCTTTATACATCTTCAGTAACGCAATTTCTCAATCAATCCATCTATGAGCCCATTGAAGATGACGACTTCATTAGTTCATTTCCTTCGGCCGACGCAATTGCTTCCGCCTTCAACTATGACTACTATCAATCACAGTTATCCATGGATCCCGAAAATTGCAACGCCTTTGAGTCGAGTAATCGCAGCGGTGCACCCAAAAATTTGGCCGATGTTGCCGAAGCTCATGAGCAAAGTTTGAAATTGTTTCGTGAATCTTTCGATTTGTCTGCTACATCTAGGGAGCAACAAAACATAGGTGAGAGTCATGATCCCAAAAAGAAACATAAGAAATCAAAAAAGGCCAAATAAATAATTCGAATTTTAGTTAGTTTTTTTATATAAATAAAGAAGATTGTGTATTTGGAATTGGAAATTTCCAGTCGGTGAGAGAGAATCTTAGGCAAAAGTATAGTATATGCAACAGCTCGCAGTATACAATATCTGCTTAGCAAAATAACAAGAACGTCACTTCTTTATCATACTTATATATTTTATTCCTCTTGAAAAAAACTATGTATATTTTTATTTAATAATAAAATTAAGTTTATTATGTTAATGGTAGAAGAGTTTCCAACACAATTTATTTTTGTTTGTATAGATTTAAATATTGTTATTTTTTGTGTAAAGGCAAATTTGAGATATTGTTATGTTACGATTTGGAGTTACATTTCGAAAAAGGAAAGGCCCTAAAAACAATCTACAGTTTTTTTTTTTTTTTTTTTTTTGTTAACAGCTTACTGAGAAAGGGTTGCACCTGCAATGGGGTGGAATAAAGGACTTAAATTACATTATTCTGTTCTATCACACTTGAGCTAATCTGCCACACTTTCCCTCGCCAAGGGAAAGTATTTGGTTCAAAGTAGGAGAGTTCACTAAGCTTTTCTTTCAATAGAAGTTCAACCCTTCTGATGTGCTAATAGCTAAAGATTTTTTCTAAGCATTACACAGCTGCAGCCTTTTAATTGAATACCTAACATGCAGTAGAGGCAGCGGAACTAGCAAATGATCGTGGTTAGCTTCAGCTGTCCAACCCTAATGGCACCAAATTCAGAAAATGAACATCAAAGATCAACATTGGATTTCTGGAAAAAGTATAATAAGTCACTGTGAGAAAAACTACACAGTGTCAGGTCTCTTTTGACCGACGAGATACCATAAAATTTTTTGAATCGGAACGTCGGCAACGGACAAATTTCCAAGGGTAATTAAACAAATTACGTGAGTTGAATTCTCAAAGTTCCCAACCTAATTATAGGCAGTCACATTGTTTAGATAAGGCAAATTTTTGCCGTATCGAAAGATATATACAAGGTGAGATAAAAAAAAAAACTGCAACAAAGTCAAACGCCATAATTGTTTTTTAAATTTTATTAAATGTATTAAAAAAACTTGGAAATAGCTTCAAAATTTAGAATTATTTTAGATTTATTCGAATTGGTCACCTTTGGCACGAATTATGACCTTCAAACGGCAACACGCTGCCTGAATGTTGCTCTGCGGTATTTTGGGCCATTCTCGGCGAAGCGCTTGCTTGAGGTGATCGACACTTTGGTATTTTTTAGTACCAACCTTGCTTTCCAAAATACTCCAGACACAATAGTCCAACGGATTGGTATTTGTAGATTTTGGTGGCCATTGTGCGCTAAAAATTTAACTATTCTTGGGTAGCGCGTGCTGAGTCCTGTTGGAATGTCCAAGATCTGCGGCCAAAATGTTTGCGTGCCCAAGGCTTTAATACACCCTCCAGAATATTTTCGCGATAATATTCGGCATTTTTTCTGATGCCACGGTCGATTAATACGAGCGGAGAGCGATCATCGGCTGTTATGGCTGCCCATACCATCACCACGGCCGGCGCTTGAGTTCTGGTGGACAACCGAAGGTGCACACTTTCAGCTGACTATTTTGGCAAGTAAACATTTCATCATTTTGTTTGTTTACAAACTGCTGGACAAGGAACGTATTCTCATCGGAAAAAACTAAATTCGGCAGTTCACCACTTTCGGCCAAAATAAAATCTATGGAATTTCCTTGATTAGTTGGATTCTCCAACTGCCGGCAAAAATCGATAACTTTCAAACGCAAAGTTTTCATAAAAATTGAAAGTAAAGTTTAAAAAAAAAAAACATTTATTCTATTGGCAAGTCAAGTTAGTCGCTATCTTTGTTTTCACCGCTAAATTACCGACAGATTTCGGAGTAGTGAAATTAAAAGCAATTGAAATATTGTTGTATCCGAAATTGTTTTTAATTCTTTAACGACTTTAACTATTTAAAGATCGGCACTACGGACTATATTAACAATTATGTGGTATTCATCTGTTATGCTTAGTCGAAAAACGATAACACCGAATTACCTTCCCATCCCTACTTAAAACATAAGAAGCGCTTTTACTCTAAAATTGTAATATTGAACCACTTTCCATGCCACATTTTAATGTCCACATTGTTCATTTCTTTCCTTTAACATAAAAAGGCAAACCAGTCCAAAGCGGAATAAATTGAAACCAACCACTCCCCATTTAGAGAAGAAGAAAAATAATAAACAGGAAAAAAATCGTTCAACGCCCTAAAAATCCAAAAATACATGCTGATGATGATGAACTAAAGGTACCAGGAAAGGTGTGGCAGGCAGCGCTGCCGGCAGAATTCAAACAAAAACCCACGTTCAGCTAAAATAACACATTTAGCAGTAACTTGTGTTTATGTGTGTGTGTACCCTTCACTGTGGCATACCACCACCACCACCAACACTCCTCACCTTACCTTACATTAGGCTATCGGACTAAAACTCAATACTGTTCGGATCTGTAGCTTTAAACTACTATGTCATGTGAAATGAAATTTGTGTTGTGTGCGTTCAACCGGGCCAACACAGTGAACATTCCGGCAGACGCGCCAAATATCCGTTTATTTTATAAATTACAGCGCCAACAACAACAACAGCAGCAGAGACAGCAAAGAACATGTAGCTGGGATGACGAAAAAAAGGGGGCGTAACATGGCAAACGGCTTTGCTCGTTACACAGTGTAGTGTGGAGTGTTTGCTGCTGGTACATTTTGTAGGCGTTCTATGATTTTTAGTATCGATTCGAAATTCAACTATTTTCATCATTTTTTGAATTTGATTGAGAAGTAGTTATTTACCTACATATACTTGTATAAGTCTATACACGGACCATTCCCACGAACAGGCAATTGGAAATTGGAACTTAAAAAAAGTTTTCAATAAAGTAGAGTCTTATATTACATTTTAAATCAAGATATATTAGGAATTAATAGGATTCTTTACAGATGGTGATCCTTTGAACACATGTTGTACAATATGAAGAGATTTTTTGCACGTCCCGTACAATTCTTGGGCGATTTGTTTAAAATGAAACAACATTTCCAACTTTTCTGTTCAGACACATGTGTACTTAGCAAAACTCTGTTTCAAACAAAATAATCAGTGTTTGTCTTTACTTTCTTGATGCGAAGCAAGGCAAATTTTGCGGAACAAACTTGAGAAAACACTTATATTTTTTATTAAACACCACCCGCATTAATTATCTAATAAAATCCACTGGTAACTCTTGTAGCAAGTATCCTAAAATTCTTATTCCCAAAGGAATATTCAGTGAAAATATCTTCCAACTATCAAAATAATGTACTTTGAAATGGCATACTTAATAAGTGGTCCAAGCCTGTCATATTCTCTACTAAAACAATAAATGGCTCAACGATTTGGAAAAAAAGAATGGACATTGGGACCATACTAGGGAGCAACTTGCACACATGTCTACATAAAGGACAAATATATTGATGCAGGATACTGTCCTGACTCACGATGTTGTTGTGGTAGCAGCTCGTACTGCTGTGTTCGTTTTGACTACTCTCAATCGCCTCTAAGTCCAGTCTACAAAAAGAATGCAACCTGTACGAGTTGGAGACTGGAGTTTTGGTTTGGAGGTTTGGCTGGATAGCGAAATAGGTGCAGCGTGTCATGTGTACTTGTGCCACAAGCTGGGCAGATGTTCTGCACATCGCTGTCCGAGTCCGATAGGAATTGAAGCGGCTGCACCATCTGGATCTTAAGTGTGCCAAAATTACTCCGGTTTGTCGGGGCAGCTATCGCTCTTCAGCTGAGATGGGAGGGGGATATTCTCCTAGTACAGTTTTCACTCTATATTCTTCCATGACTTCTGAGACTGCGATAGAGTGAATACTAGAATACATGTTCGTGTCTGCAATAATTTGTCGGAATGCTTGCTGCAGTCTTGTAACACTACCATTGCGTTTCGTCCCACTAATTTTCTTCATAGCACAGCCTCCGTACCATGCCGGAACTAAACCTAATATTCGTTAAAGCACCCAGGTATTAGCGAAGCTCCGTAAGAGCACTGTTGGTACCCTAACTGCAAACCTGCTACACTCACATAACACACCGGCGTTAAGGAGTCTCTTTACATGCGTATTGGAATTTCGTGCGATTAGAATCACTTTCTTCTTTACCTAAACAAATTGTTTGATTAAAAAAATATTACATTTTTCCATGAAGCGTATAGGAGACGTAGTTGGGCACCCTTAACTTTATTTCCTGTTCGCTTGTCTTTTCTTTAATATTGAATTCATGACAAAAAAAAAGTAAACAAGTGACTTGGTTTACGTGGGGTCTTCTCACCATATTGACTTACGACACATCTCTCTATAGCATTATCAAAGTTCAAGATGTGGGCGTTCCGTCTAAATATAAATCCATGTTTCAATCTTATCTTTCATACCGAAATAAAAAATCAAAGTTTTTAAGTACCATTCCCCAGATATGTATATATTTCCGATGTAATTTTAACCAGAAATAGTTTGGGGGTTCAATTGATCAAAGACTTACTTAACAATGTCGATCTTTTCTCATCCCTTCCTCAGAAACAGGCCCTTAACACCTCAAATAGGCTTTATATATTTCTTTTTTAAACCTCATACATAATAACAAGTGTTTATTATGAACCATTCAAAATAATACTTTACGAGTGCAAATTTACAACTTACATTTAATTGTTTAAATTAATTTAAATACTAAAACAATAAAATACTCTAAAAAAAAATAGCAATTTACGAACCTGCATCGTATATTTTCCAGCATATTATGATTTTTTCTTTTTTTATAAGTTACGTTTAAAGTCCTGACTTGACTCTTACTTTCTAATGAAAGAAAAAACTAAACAATACTATTTTGTACAAACGTGACATTTCGATTATGATGCACTTTCCGATTTGTGTTCTTTCGATAATCATCTTATCCTGGTGTGGGCGTTCATATGTTTTTTCAAGTGATCACTTCGCATGAAACGTTTTTCACATTCATTGCAGGCATACGGTTTCTCACCTGTATGGGTACGTATATGTCGCTTTAGTTCATCGGGCCGTTTGAACTTTTTGGGACATTGATTGCAAGCATGTGGTCTATCATCATCTACATGTGGTGGGGATTCCTTTACAGTTTGTTTAATTTTCGGCAAGTCTAAGTGAGATTTAGATTTTGGTGGCATTGGTATAGGAGTAAATGTTTTAGCGCCGCTGGGCATAGGTATTAATGGTGGCAAATTAGCTTCTGGCATAATTGCATCATCGTCTGGATCTTCATTGATTTTTTCTTCCGATTTAATATTTAATGGCTTTGTCGTACCATAACTAAAAGTATTTTCAGATGATCTTTGCAAATTATAAATATGCCCAACAATATTATCATGTTGTCCAACTAAACCGGGCTGAACGTTTTGAATTCCGTTTCTCTGGGATAATTCCTCAAGTTTGGCGATTAGTATTTTGGGTTTCTCTTCTACTGTTTCAGATTCGATTTTTTCTTCCTTAACTACTACCTCATCGCTTGATTGCATCTGACATTCCGATTCAATATTCTTATTCAAAGTCTGTTGGATTTTTTCTCCAAAATCTTCCTTTATGTCAATTTGCTTATCGAATATAACTTCGCGGGCCATGAGCGCTGGTGTTTTACATAAACCGCCGGTGGGTGCGAGTTTACAATGCTGTTCTCTTACAAATTGCGTTGGGGAGTATGGAATAAGTTTGGGCATTTTAGGTGTCGTCGCTAAAGGCAAAACAGTAGATCCCTCTCCGCCCAACAAACCCAATAGCTGTTTTGTGTGTGTTGCCAAATGTTTTGTCAGATGATCACTTCGGGAGAATTTCTTACCGCACGTAACACATTCGAATGGTTTCTCACCCGTATGTGTGCGTATGTGACGATTAAGTTCGTCCGACCGGGTAAATCCTTTTCCGCAATCTTTACATACAAACGGTTTAATGCCCGTGTGCCATGTCAAGTGTGAACGAAGATGTGAACTCTTGCCATAACTTTTTGTACAATTTTCATATGGACACTCGTAACGTTTCTTGGGATTAGCTGGATTTGGTGTCGGCATTAGCTTGGCGGTGGGCGTCAATCGTATTATTGGAGATGTTCCACTAGGTCTGAGAGGTGTACTGGGCGACAATGACTTATTATCATCGCTGCTGACATTCATGTCATAGAAACCATCGTTTATCTCAATGGCTGGCTCATTTTTTATTTGTACTTTTCTGTGGAAGGAAACCTTGGCGGCATCTGTATTTTTGCAATCAATGGGACTGCTGCCGTTACTCCCAGTTTCGTTGAAGTTTGAATTGCTGTTACTATGGTCCCCATAATTACCACTCCCATATTCAGTGTTTTCATCATCATCCAACGCACCCTGTTCTACTTTAATGGAGACGCTGGGCATTATAGTTGGAGTGGGTGTGGGCGTGTCACTTAAGGCAGCCATTTCAATATCAACTGCAAGCAAAGGCAATAAATTAAATTTCTATATTTACACAAACGCAAACAACGCCAGCCACTTCTACTTATATAGCTGACTGGATGGCTGGACACTTACTTCATTTATATGGGTTTGGATTAATGACTATTCAAAATATATTTTTACGCCTTCGTTTTTGTTTTTAGGTGGGCGTTCCTAGCTCGAACAGCCAAGTATAAACTGCACACAAATACAACAGAACTTTTCTTTCTTGTTTTCCTTTTGGATTTCAAATAGAAATCGTAAAAATAACTATTAATGCTTTCAGTTGTTTGTGATTTAAAAAACTAACTAATACGCGTAAGTTCCTTTTATTTATTATTGTTATTTGTGATGATTAAATATTTTTTGTTTTCACTTCGCACAACAACTGCGGCGCGACGTCTAACACTCTCGGCAGTTTTTCCAATTCTGTTTTTTCTTTTCATCAAATTGCCAGAAGAACCTATTTAAAAAGCGTGTCAACTGTCAAAACAGCGGTAGAACAGCTGACTGCAAAATTAGATGCCGATGAGGTGAAATTTGAAGCCGCCAAAAACAAAATATTTCACATTATGTTCGACTTTTTAATATATTTAGTCGGAGATTCAGATTTGTAACACCTCGAAATATCAATGAAGAGAAGGTAGGCCAAATTTGAAAAAATTGCAAGTATAGAGGGGTACCTGTGTGGCTTGTAATGTCAGAATTAGTATCAAAACAATAAAAAAATCAAACAACTTGTTGCATTTATTTTGAATAAATAATTGAAAACCGCGAAAACTGAATGAGGTCTACCTGCTCTATACTTGCAATTTTTTCAAAATTGACCTACCTTATCTTCATTGTACCATGATTCCAATCAAGTTTTGTGGGTTTTCCCAGTATAATAATTTTGCGAAAAATGTTAAATAAACAAAACCAATTGATGCAGTCTATTTGACATACTAAGATTCTAGAACATAGTTGCATTCATGGTACAATATGGAGGCGGAACGGCTTCGCAAAACTACAGAAATACACAACTGAGGCCATGCCCGCTTCCTGTCAAATTTGCATGCTGCAAGTTTTTTTTCGTTTATCGATATTTTTCTTCATTTTTAAAATTATTTAAATAGCGCGTGTTTTTATTTACCTCACCTTACCTTTTTGTTGTACCATGGTTGCATTTGCCTAGCTTCCTTGAAGTTGAGCAACCTCTTATTGAGCCATGGGTTCACATACATAGGTATAGCCTCTATATAACTAAATCGGAAGATTTAAAAAGTTTTGGCAGTTTGTGATCTCCTTGTCATGATAGAATTAAGAAAGCAAAGTCATGCAAATATATGTTTACATTGTTTTAAATTATTCATTTGACAACAGCTCATTGACAAAATGTGCATTTATACATCCCATGGTAAAATTAAGAAGGTAAAGTCATTTCAAATAAGCATTCCTATCTCTGCATTTTCTGTAATTTACCTTGTCAAATTTCACTGAATAAAAAATAGGTTCCCATCTCTGATTTCTGCGAATGTAATGGATTTATAAATATAAATTTTGCAATATGATGTTGTCAAATGAATAATTTTGGCAAAAAATATAAACATATGATAAAATGACTTTGCCTTCTTAATTCTACCATGGTATATAGCTTTTTTAACTTATATGAAATTATTTTCACATATATTTATTGTTCCAGAACCTGCAGAAATCTATTAATTATCGCTTTTTCGATATATCTATTTTTTCGATCGATTTTTCGTAGTTACATTTTGACATTTTTGTAGGATCTGGCAGCAAATGTAACAAGGCATTTTGTATTGTACAAAATTGCTTGAGCGTCTACCTGATTATTTGTCTCGGAACGAGTTAAATAGATGAACTAGTTTATACAGTTCTGATGGTTCATTTCACTGAATATTTGCTTTGAACTTTTCCGTTCCGGAACGACACAACTCGGGAACTACAAGAATGACGGATTTCCAGTGGCCTTGGGAGTATACCTTTCCGCCCTTTTTCACGTAAGTAAATTTGTTTCATGTTAAAAAATCGTGTAATTTCTACTGTCTCTTCTTAGATTACAACCGCACGAAGAAACGCGGCAACAACAACTAAATGTTTGGTCTGAATTATTTCTTAAATACCTGAAACACTTAAACAAGTTCACTGTAAACATAAACGAAGGATCATTTCCACTGTACTACAATGAATCTCTTAATCGACGACTGTCTCCATCTATGATATTGCAAATTCTTCAAAAATTACAAAGCACAGGACATGCCCAACCCTTGGACAAAAAACGTCAAGAATGGCAAGTATATTGGCATACGCTGGAAGAGTATGGAAATATGATTTACGATTGGATACAAGAGACCGGGCAGACAGGAAGTGTATGTACACTCTATGAAATAGCAAATGGAGAGTCGACGGAAGACAAGGAATTTCATGGTATTGACGAAAATGTTTTGGTGAATGTTTTGCGGCTGCTGGAAGACAAAGGCAGATGTGAGCTCATAGAAATGGATGGCAGTTATGGTGTCAAGTTCTTCTAGTTGATTTTATAAGGAGATTAGTCATTGGTGTAATTAAATGTTGATGCATTTTTGTCATATAGGTACATCATGTCTAAAAATGATCATATATGCTATTACACACACATTTACATTGCCTTGTTATTATTTACTAAAGAAAAATAATATACATAGTTAAACTTTTAAGTTTTTAAACAGCTTCAATTGTCTTGTTATTTGTAAAAGATTTCATAAAACGTTAAAGTGTGGTATGGAAGGCTAGAGAAACACACAGACGAATAAGTATTATTTTAGTTTATGTTCGCCAATTAAAATTAAAGTAATTTTATCTAAACAGTTTAGGGTAGCATTGTTCTACCTTCTGTAATTAAGCCAGGGTTGCAAGTATTTACAAGAAAAAATCTTTCCAGCAAATTTTGCAAACACTCAGAAAAAACTTGTGTGAAAAGAAGACTCCCAGTAACAATTTGCCGCAATTGTTACAAATTTTAGTGTAACCTAGCACACCTAAGGGTTGTTCCACAACCTGCAAGAATCTACTATTTTTGCAATTTTTTTCGATATCATAAAGGGAAAATCGGTTTTCGTAGTAAAAACTTTTATATTCTTGCAGTTATGGAACAGACCCAACTATAAGATTTCCTTTCCAAGCCAGCTGACAAACAAATTTATTGTCAAAATGAAATCGCAGAACAAAAGATAAACAATAAGCCAACAAAGTGTAAACAAATGTTGACATTTCATCTTTAAAATTGGAGCATGGCAGAAGAATACAGGTGGATGCATCAACGCTTGGGAGCATTGATATGTCAAAAAAATTTAAATGTTTTTTCAAATATAAGTAAATTTTTATATGTTTTCTTATACTACGTCATTCGGAGGCTATTATAATTCGCGTTTTCCATCAATTTTTGCAAATTTAAATAATTTTTCATTCAACATTTTCAATTCCAAAATTGGTTTGACAGTTCATTGTCCCAGCAGCTGTTTCGACGCGTCTACCTATATTCTTCTACCATAAATTGGAGGAAAACCTTGTACATAGTAGAATCAAAGAGGTAAAGTCACCTGTTTTTATGTAGTGAAATGTGACAAGGAAAATTACAGAAATGGCAGAGATGTGAATGCTTGTTTGAAATGGCTTTACTTCCTTAATTTTACCATGACCTTGTTATTGCGCCGTGCTTTTTTCATTATATATGTATACGTAAACAATGTAGAACTTCGAAGGTAAAGTCATGCAATCATATATTTACATTTTTTTACGATTAATCGTTTGACACCATCTCATCGACACAGCTGCTGCATATTATAACAACCTCCTATTGGCATATTATAACAACCTCCTATAAAAAACATTCAAAAATCTACTTATTTTTAATAAAACATTTAAAAAATTTTGACATATCAATGTTCTTACGCGTTGATGCATCTACCTATATTCTTCTACCATGAGCTGGCCGGTATGTATGTAGAAACAGGTTCCCATCTCTGATTTATGTGTATACAATGGATTTGTAAATATAAATTTTGGCAATGAGATGTCAAATGAATGATTTTGAAAAACAAATTAATTATTATATGAATGCATGACTTTACCTTCTTAATTCTACCATGCAAAATATAATCAAATAATGAACATCTGTTCGGCGTAAATAAGGTTAAAGTCTCATTTGCAAAATCGATAATAATAACTAATGACACAATAATTTCCAAAAAGTTGCAAGTATAGAGGTCTACCTGTTTGGCTTTTAATGTTAGAATTACTATCAAAACAATTAAAAACCAAACAACTAGTTGCATTGGATTTGAATAAATAATTGAAAACCGCAGAAACTGAATGGAAGGTCAACATCTCTTTTCAAAATCATGTTCTATATATCTCTAAAGATTTATTTCCATACAAAAACTTTAATTTTTGTCGATGCATACCTTGCAGTAAGCGAATATGAATATTTTCTGAACAAATCTTATATTATTGAAAAGAATACACAAACATAAACAAATAAATTTGACACATTAAGCCAAGAAAATAAAAATATTAAAATCATATGGTATCATAGTCCTAACTTCATTGTAGAAGAATATAGGTAGACACATCGACACAGCTGCTGGGACAATGGCCAAATTTGGAATTGAAAATGTTGAATGAAAAATTATTTAAATTTGTAAAAATTGTTAAAAAACGAATATATAATATCTTCCGAATAACGCCGTAAAAGAAAACATATATAAATCTACTTATATTTGAAAATAAATTTAAAATATTTTGACATATCAATGTTCCCAAGACATGAGCACATGCATCTACCTGCATTATTCTACCATGCCTATAAAATGATTTTTTTTAATTTGTATATATTGTTGAAATACGCGAATTATAATAACCTCCGAATGACGTCGTACAAGAAAACATTACAAAATCTACTTATATTTAAAAAAAAACATTTAAATTTTTTTGACATACCAATGCTTCCAAGCTTTTTATTTAAAAATTCAACTTAATACGTTTTCACTAAATGCCACCCTGACCGGCATTTGCTTGACACAACAGCCTTTTTTATCTAATAGAAGTACGCTATACGTTACGTCCTATTAATTCCACTTTACAAAAAAGTGTGTTTAACATTCCTCTAGAAATTATTTTGCAGATAACAGTTACTATTGTTTTCATATATTCGTTGCTTCGTTTTTGTTATTAATCTCCAATTTTTTGTTTAAATAAGTTAACAACATAACGTATAGTTTATAAACTTACGCTGCTATACGTCACGGCCATGTTTAGCTGCCGTGAATGGGAAGATGCATATATTTAACGAAACCCGCCCAGAATAGTGCCGACAGCGAATTGTCAGTCAGAGTGAAAGAATTTTTGTGCATTTTTTTGAAGCGTTTAAAAAGAATTTAAAAAAGGTTGAATAAAATTAACAAAATTTGTTAAAAAAGTTTACATTGCTTCGAAATGTTGAAAAGCTGAAAAGAATAATTGAATAAAACATAAATTAAAGTGGAACATAATTCATTAGTGCGGTGTTATTTCAGTGGTGCTGTTGTGTGTGCATAAGCCCAACTAAAGAGTTTAGTCATCAACATTTCGTGGAGAAAGGCAACAAAGACGAAGTTACTGAGTTATTTGTGTGTTAAATAAAGGAAATTTTACTATTGTTGCCCTTGTTTGGCTGCTGCGGAGTTTTCAAAAGATTTTCTTCATCCAGAAAAATAGATTTTATTTAAAACAAATATTGTTTTTTTTTGCTAAACTATTGGAGAGGAAGAGTATGGATTAAAAAAAGCAAAGCAAGCATATTTTGTTTGCACGCTCATACGATTTTACACGGAGACCGACACTTAACGAAGGTTTTGTGCCGCGGCGACATAAACTCGCAGAGAGACAGGCGGCACAGCAGCAAAAAAAGAAAAACATTAAAAAATACATTTTTTGCATTGATTGTGTCGTTGGTGTTGTTGTTGTTGCTCTTGTGAGTATTGGCCTTGCTCAATTTTTGAACAAAAATACTCTTACTTGTAACGTTTGTGCTCAATCAGTCTTTAAAGTGCAGAGTGACAAGACGGTCGTCGCTCTATTGGATTTACGGATTGTGGATAATATATTTTTATTCGTTTAATTATTATTTTCTTCCAAAAAAAAAAAGAAATAAAGAAAAAAAAAAACAACCTCATTTTTTATTATTTTCAAATGTTTTGTGTTAAAAAGGCAAGCTTGGAAACCAAAAAATATCTCGACGAAGAATAAGAAATATGTGATTAACAAAATTGGAAAAAAGAGTCAAAAAGTCAATTCCAATAAGAAAGTGCAAAATAAAGGAAAAGAATTAATAAAGCTAAAAGCTTTTGGTGGTATTACACATTGTTGTTTTTGGAATTTTGCCGACAATTGACATCTGCAACAAATCAGCAATCCAACAACAACATCATCACCATCGCCGTCGTTGTGAAGAAATGTCAGATGGTTTTTTTCTGGCCGGCCATGCCTTGCCGAGAGGAATCAAAGAGAGCCTTGTTCTCTTCTAGCAGTTAACATTGCTCTCTTCGTTTCCTTGAAGGTCCGGTTCTTTTGGGACACTAATCAGTGAAGTCTGACATTTCGGTGGGGCAAATTGGAATATATTGTTGAAATAACAACAAAGTGACAGTCACACCTTAAAAAAATTAAATAATTTTTTATATTTTTCTTTGTTTGCCTCTTTTTAGAGTTTAGATTAGACAACGAATTTTTTATATAAAATAGTTTTTCTTTTATCTTACAATCAATTAAAAATCAATTTCAAAACGAAAACCAAATTAAGTGTTTTTTAATTGTGTTGTGTGAGCGTCATTGTGTCTTAAATTAAACAACTAAACAAAAAATAAATTCAAAAAAGAATAGAAACCCCCCAAAAAATTACAAATTGTGGTGTTAATAAATTTGCCAAAAAGAAAGCAAATTTCGACAACAAATAATCGACAGTTTAACAAACGAAGAAACCAGAACCAATCTACTGATCACCATGGCTGAAGAAGTTGATCGCAACGATCCCGAATTGAAATATCTTTCGGTGGAACGCAATCAATTCAACGATCCGGCCACACAGGCTGAATGGACACAAAAACGCTTGGTGTGGGTGCCTCATGAAAATCAGGTCAGTAACCAGAAATAACACAAAAAAATAATTATTTAAACAAAATTTGAACAAGTTTTTTATGTTTTTGCCCTCCCTCTTCCACTTCGTTTTTTTCTTTTTGGTGTTTTAAGAATAACATTTACCATGATATTTGTTGTTGTTCTTTTTCTATGCTGTCATATCGCATAGTTGCTTGTTTTTTACCTGGTGGCTCTGTCACTGTGATGAGGTGGCTGGCTGGCTGGCTGCCTACCTTTGCCGACTCGTGAGTGCGTTGCAGCTTTACCTTTCTTCTCCACAGCAGGGCAGAGCAGTGTTGCCTGTTATGTTTAAAATTTAACTTTTTTACGATAACCGGTTATCCATGACTCTCTGAGCTGTGTGGTGGCCGCCCGCCCCAACATCAACGACAACACACACAGAACTCTGTGATGGTGGAGAGCAGGGAGTGTTGGATGATTGGACCCCTTACTTTCTTTGAAATGTCTGTTTTCTGTGAGTTTGGATACCCAGATGTTGTTGAGAGTGTTTTCTTCTCTGGTATGCGTGACTCACTCACTACTCACTATCAACCAAGTCAGCCAACCAACCATCCATCTCTCCACAACTACAACCAAAGTTTTTTTTATCTTGGCCTAACATTACGAATTATTCTTCAACAAAGAAATCTTCTCAGAATTAAAAACCAAGTTATTTGGTTAGGTCTTGTTTTATTTATCCAACAAAATGACTAATCAATGTTATTTTGGGAATTAATAAGTATTTCAACGTTCCCCCTATTCCAGGTGGAAGACGCGGGGGAATAGAATAACTTTAAAGGGGCCGGGGAAGATTGACCTCAATTTTTGAATAGTTGTTTAATATTGATTATATCTTAGAAATGTTCCCACTATGAGTGACCGTTTCTGCTGACGGTTCCAAATCCTGTTCTGGGATAAATCAAGTTTTGGGAGTCTTTTTTGAAAATTTTGGGAAATATTACCACAAGTAGCCCTTGTATATTATTTGTTTATAAAATGTTACTTGCCGATTTCTAAACATCGTGTAATATGAACCTCCAAAGTACATGTTTCCAATGGTTTTAAGTCCGGATTATGACATGCTTTCATTGGATTTGAAATATGTTAAGCGAATCCATAATTTGTTCCCGAAGTAAAGAATGGGAAATATTGTAAGATGGATCTGCCATTGGAGTAAATATTTTCTAAGTAACACTCAAGGGTGTAAATTTGTCAAAGAGGTTTTTTTTACACCGGCCCGTTTCCAAATCCAGACTTTGTTAGGGAAAGTAAAGAAGTTGTTCTTCGTTTGTAAGGGATGTATCCACTGGATGTTGATCTTAAATCCCATACGAAAGCATATAACGAGGGTATACCCTAAAAGCTGCTCTATATCAGAATATTAGACTTTAACTCATTCATTTGGAAAACATTTGTTTTTGTATTTAACGTTTCACTTCCACAAATTGTGACTTGCCGATTTCTTCAATGAAAATACAAAGCTGCGATTGGATTAATGGGTTTTCTGTAAATAAATAATCTCTGATACTCCTATAGATGGAACACCTCCTTTGTCTGGTTCTACTCTGGATGGATTGGAATAAACTGGAAATTCAAGGAATCGGAGCAACGATGCAATTATTCTCTTTTCCATTCCTGTTTTCCATATACAAATGGGTTATTTAATATGTGGCTCCGAGGTACAAATAAGTCCTATCACTTGGCGGGAATCACATTGTAGTGCGCTTCTGAACAAGTTTCTTAGTACCCGCCTTGTCGCTGCCTCGTTCAGCAAAGGTGTTCGAATTAAAAGCTGCTTGAGTAGTTAGCTTAAAGACTCACTGCCTCAAGGGCGAGTTTTTTGCTTAATCCGTAGGGCAGTCTCATAAAATAGGGTATATATCTCGAAGGTGACAGATTTTCATAACGCGTTCACGTTGTTCATATTTTTTTTAAGAATATGTCTTTTTATTCTTAGGAAACATTTTAGGCCGGCGTGCGAATAATTAAAAGTTGGAGGAGCATCTGCTCAAATTTCGATGTTATCTTGGGTGTTTTTTGCTTCTTTTGTAGTGCACACTCTTTATCATAGGGTATATATATCGAAAGGGTCCTTTTTAAGCTTTAACCCATTTTTCCACATCCATCTCGCTTTGGATATCGATGACGGGTACACTTCACGTTGTCTTCGTTTGGGTAGTTTGCTTCTTCGTTATCCTATATTATGGGTGTAAGCTGGCATATTATTTAAGAAGAAGAACCTTATTGGAGATTATAAATGTCTTGTATGAATTGTGGGTTAGTTCTTTATTTTTCAAACATAACCAAATTCTCTTTTCTGTTCAATCGTAACAATTTTTGAATTTAGTATAATTTTCGAGCTCCCATTCTCGTATAATATTGTACCTGTAGGAAATATATTTCACGTCACGTACGTACACATTTTATCAAGCCTACATACATTTTTCTCAACCCTGCCTACATGTCAAGATTTCGCCCAAGCATCTTGGCAACCCTTTTAACATCACTTATTAAAAAGTAAAACTTAAAGTATATGTTATTGACCTCTCATATCTATTCTATCACTCTCCCTACTACATACACTATTGTACCTCCATTTTAAAGTATTGCCAATTTAGCGGTTTTCAAGCTTAAGTATCTTTGTAACCCTTTTCATATTAAAAGCGAAAATCAGAACAAGAACACATTAATCTCTCATTTTTACTCTCGGTATCTCCCTCTTACCCACTATTGTGGTGAAGTATCACACATATTTCTTTGGTGAAGGTGCCCATTTATTTTTAAAATGTTGCCAATTTAGCGGTTTTCAAGTAATTGTTTTCAAAACTGAGATTTTCGGCTAAAGTTTATAAAAATATATATTACAAATTGGGGATAATGCAGTTATATCTTTGAAGTTCAACGCACTAAAAAATATATATTTATACTTTTTTGACTCATTCTATAATTAACCACCTTTTCCGAAGTTTGTCATCCCGTTTCTAACTCAACGAAATTCTGTATTAAGACCCAAATCGGTATAAAACAATTAACCTATTAATGTAAAATGTACAAAAAATGACAGGAATGACCTCGGCATATGTAAAAACTTCAAAAAAAAAAAAATATTTAATTTATATCCAAATTGGTATGAAAAGCTGAATAAATACTTCAAGACATCCCTCTCCACAAAAAAAAACTCCAATATAGAAAATCCAGCACAATTTTGCACTCAACAGAAATCTATTAAAAAAAATCAAAAGACCAAATCACTTCTTAACAAAACATTACGACCAAAAATTGATGATTAATGCCTACCAAACATAGGCCCCAAAATAAACATTGAGTTTAAATGATATGTCAATATTGTGTATGTCAAGCATACAATATATGGCATATGTGTGTGTCATCGATAAAACATATATACTTATATGTGACAGCTTTCGACCATATTTAGATGGTGTGACTTTTACACAGTAGACTTTTGGTTTTTGTTATTCGCAAAAAATATCCACATATGGCAAAAATCATAATCGTAGATAAATCAATAATATTTTGGTGATTTTTTTTCTCATTGAAATGCAGAACAATGTGAAAAAGTCGTGATTACGCGAAAAAAACGGCAGCACATATTGAAACACCTGTTATTTGTTTTTCCATGTTTTTATTTTCATTTTATGCCATATTTGAAGAAAAACTTATTATTTTTGATTTAACAACCATGAAAACTTAATAAGGCAAATCATGTATCACTTTATACTGAAAAAATCGGAAAATTATTTCAAAAGCCAGTGAATATTAGGTTTCTTTGTTCACTTATGATGTGTAGGGGAACATTATTAACGTTTGTTTATCTACTTACCTTGTGTTGAATTTTTTGGCTTCCCCCATTACCACAGAATTTCTCCCCCAAAAACAAGAAAAGTAAACAATAACATCCTAAAATTCCCTCTGCTCATTGGTGGGTAAAAAAAGTGCGCATTCTGCATTCCAAAAATTTCCATTTATGTTATTTTTAAATGAAACATTTCACTGTGACGTTATCGCTTTCCCCAAGGCCTACCAACCCTCCCGCTCTTCTCACTACATACAAACCTGTTTTACAGGATGACACGATGACGAAGATGGTGGTGATCATCATGACGATGAGTAACCCCCACACTTTGGTGTGGTAACAACCAACTAACCATCGGCCAACTATCAACCTTACTAAGAAATGATATTGAATCATTCTTCTTTACCGAAAATGGTTATAAATTATGTTCAAGTATATCTCTGGGTACGTATGTGTATGTATTTGTGCACTGATTCAAGTAGGTACTTGATGTAAAAAAGTGTTTCTTTATCATCAGCATATATTTGTTTTTTTTTTTTTTTTGGTTTTCTGTTTGTATTCAGAAGCAATTCACATATCTAGCAGTACTTACATTGGACTCTTCTGTTGTTGTTTTTTTTTTGTAGAGGTCTATGACAAATATTTCGGTAAATGGAGTGACTCATGTATCTGTAACCAAATTTGGTTAACCATTATTAATGTAAAAATAAACAAATTAGTTGCACCAAATTGAATGCTCAGATACATTTAAAATAGTTTTTGCAAATGTTTTCTATATCTTATTTGGTTTTAATTGGCATCTTTCTTGACATGAAAGTTACCACTTACCCACATTTTATTTTCTACATCCAAACCACAATTAAAAAATAAATAAAAAACCACATATTTTGGAATTTATTAAGCTAACTTGAAAGGGATCAAAATTAACATAATATAGACATATAATCTGAAATCCTCCTCTGAAATCCTGCATTCGTACAGCACAGGCAGTTCTATCCAACATTCCATCCAATTAAATGTTTTTTTTTTTTTTGGGAAACATACTTCCAAGTGGCTTAGAAATCACAGCAGTCTGAAGTTGGTTGCAGTTTTTTCATCTCACCCTGTAAATAAAATCAGACAAAATAAAAATACGGAAAATTGGGTGATACCATTGTGTCGGGAATAAACCTTAACCTGGCTTA